AGGTCTGTGCCACCACAGCTAGCTGATTTTTCTATTTTTTGTAGAGATGGGGTCTTGGTCTTGCTCAGGCTGGTCTCAAACTCCTGAGCTCCAGCAATCCACCTGCCTTGGCCCCTCAGAGTACTAAGATTATAGACGTGAGCCACTGAGCCTGGCCTTGATTCTAAAATTTGTATTCTGTTTTATTAAGTTGTCTGTTTCCCTCTATGACCATGATATATTACTTTAATAACTGAAACATTAATGGACAACAGTAAGCCCAAGAGACAATATCTGGAAGGAGGAACCACTCATTTCCGCTAATGTTTTGTTATCTTTCTGGCTGGTCTCAGGTATTTCTGGGAAATTGAGAAGCAATGTAGATGTTGGGTAATAGTGCAGGCTTCACTCTCATAGTGCCTGGGGCCAAATCCCCGCTTCCCAGATGACTGGCAGTGTGACCCAGCAAACGTATTACTTCTCCATGACGCAGTTCTCATCTGTAAAATGGAAGCAGTATTAGTCCTACTTTACAAATGTAGCCTAATGATTGGGTGGATGGAACTGCTGCATCGCACACACCAGCTCTTAATAAGCCTGTTTTGCTATTTTTCTTTTATTTTATCCATTTTTTAAGAATAAAACTAAAAGTTATTCTTTAATTTTGGAATTATTTTGTCAAATTGCCACATACTTGGTATGAATTTTATCATTGAGTCTCTCTAGAAACATGGCCCAACTCTTCATTCACTTATTTTCTTGTTGTGTCTCCCAGCAAATGCTGTATTTTTTGTTGACTTTATAACATTTGTACAGATTGGTATACATATATGTTGCACACAATCATATTTGCACACTCTCTGAGAAGTAGGGCCGGCAGAAATTATGTGGGCACGTTAGAAATCAATTATCTCTGAAGATTATTAGGGTATGGGAATTTTCTCACTTACAATTTTTTATACATTTTAAAATTTCTTTGCTGAACATTACCTATGTGATCAGAAAGATATGTTTTGAAAACAACTTTGATGTGCTATTATTCCAGTCCTTTGTACATCAGATCAAAGAGAAGTGCCTGTCAATTACTGTGTATTACATGTCACACAAGTATATTGGCAAAGAAGCTGCTGTTTAAAAAACAAAATGTGTCCTCAATTACGGAAGTGTATTTCAAGAGAACTGGATAAAATCCTGAAGCAAAAACAATTTTAAGTAGATGACTAAATTGGTTTCCTGAAAATGCCGCTCTATGTTCTCTGAAATCACCTCTTCCCTGCCTACATCTAGAGTTTCTTGGAATGCTTCAAAATATCTGGATGAGATCTCAGAGGATAATCTATCATGCATATGATTTACAGGACTGGAGAATTTCACCAAGCAAGAAACATTTTTAAATTTTTGTCAGCCCCAGATAGAAGTTTCTGGATTTCTAGATTTTAGAAGACATAGAACCATGAAGGAAAATGTTGACATTTAGTTAAATTGGAATAAAGAATGAGAACATGACCTATATATTGGTTTTTCCCCTTACGCTCTCATTATGTCATAAGGCATAGAGTTTGTTTGAGATTTGGGGGATCAAAGGTTACTACCACAGAAAGGCACCATCACAAGAACATGTCTGATCAAGAGGAGATTGTGCAAAGTCACAGACCCTTGCATAAGGCTGAGCCCTGCCTCCTCTCCACTGTTCTCATCCCTTTTCCACCACAACTTCTGCAGGCTGCTCACTGTCCCCCTGGCAGCCACCTGTGGGCCCCTAAGATGTTATGGAACATGTCCCCAAATGAGGCCTCTCAGATGCCATTTGCATTAACTGAGGGAAGGTGGAGAAAAGCCCAGATTGCAAAGTCAGGGTGGTGAAATGTTGCTTTCTGTGACAAAACAAATTTGTTTCCCTCTGATATATGAGCAAAGGTCTGTTGAATATCTAGAATGGGCATGTAGAAGGAAAGATAGTTTATCTTATCAGACTAAGGAAAGAGTGTTCTTAAGAGCAGTGGAACAATCTCTAAGATCAGAAGTTTTCTCTGATGACAGAAACTCCAGGGTGACAATAGAAAATACTTCCTGACAAGGTAGATACCAAAAGGCCTACTGAGTAGAAGTTGAAGTTGAATTTTTGACTAATTTGTAAGGGAAATACAATGCAAATAAACCCAGGAGGATCAAATCATTTTATATTAGCAAGGACTCCTGACTTCTACATCCTTGTTAGATCCACAAGGAAAATAGCATGGGCTTATATTCTATCAACTACTAGTTATCAAAAATTCAGCAGCTTAAACTATAGTCATTTTTTTATTTCACGAAGTTCCTTGGGAACAGGAATCTGACAATGATTAAGCCAGGTGGTTCTGTCCTCATGAAATTGTGGACAAGCTATTGGCTACAATTTGTCACCACTGAAGGCTTAACTGGAAGTCGTGTGGCTATTGGCAAGAGGCTTTAGTACTGCTCTGTGTGAGGTATTTTGTGGAGCTGTTCATGATATAACATCTCTTGGAGCAAGTAACTCGAGAGAGCCCTAGACATCTGCAGTGTGCCTTTCACAAATTCATCTTGGAAATGCCATGCTATCACTTATTGTATATTATATTGGTCACATAAACCTGCCCTTGTACAGTGGGGGAGAATACTACCCAGGGGCATGAACGCCAGGAGGCAGAGTTTGTTGGGCGCCATCTTGGAGGCTGACTGCCATAGCTATTGAAGGTATCTTTACTGATGACGTACAATTTCTACCAATTCGATTGCTCATTCTTTTGCATATGCTACTCAAGACTGATGGGGGACATGTGAATCCTGTTAAAATGTAGAAAATCTAAATGTGTTTGTAGAAACCATTAACTAAATAAACATTCTCTTTTCTTTTAGAGAAAGAAGGTTGTGTAAGAGAGAGGAAAGAGAAAATCTAGTCTTTCAGATCAAAATTTTTATTCCAGATATATTTTTATTTTTAAAAATTATTTTTATTCTGGATAAATATGGCTTTAAAATAATTCCTATTCCACAAACCTCTGTCCAAGCATCTCTGTTAACATTCAAGACATTTTCTGAACTTCGGAATAAGAGTAAAGGGAAAGTGTGAAACATTAGTATTCATGCTTAGTTGTAATGTTTTGTTGTTTTTTTTTGAGACAGAATCTCAAGCTGTCACCTGGGTAGAGTGCCATGGTGTTACAGCTCACAGTAACCCCAAACTCTTGGGCTTAAGCGATTCTCTTGCAGTAGCCTTCCAAGTAGCTGGGGACTACAGGTATAATTTTTTTCCTCTTTTCAAGAAATAAAAATATGGAATGCTTCACAAATTTGCGTGTCATCCTTGCATAGAGGTCACGCTATTCTTCTTTGTATCGTTCTAATTTTAGTATCTGTGCTGTGGAAGCAAGCACTATAATTTTTAATTTCTCAAAGAGAGGATGAGAAAGAGAGTACTGTGATCTAAAGTCTGACCACTTTGACCTCTGTAGATCCTATTAAGCAAACTGTTCAGTAAAATCAAGACTGTCAGTTAAACCTCTGAACACAGGCAGATTTTTTATTCATAAGGAGTCATTTCCTATCATGTCTACATGATAAGGGTGAGGGATGGAGTAAACATACATGGCTAGACTTATGAGGAAGTAAAATTTCTGTCTAAGCAATAGGTTTGAAAAGAATTTTCTGGGTTAAAGCACTAATCCTCCTATAGTTTTCTTTATATATATGTAAATGCTGAAATTCCTTTACAAGCTATTCAGACCTTTGTATTTATAAGACTTTTCTACTGTTTAAGAAACTATTCTCCTTAAGAGAACAAAGGAGGAGTCTTACTAGTCAACATATTTGTTGTAGCAACCAAGAAAGAGGAGAGAAAGTTCTAGAAGTGGAAAAGGGGTGGTCATACAGACATGAAGGTGAGCCAAAGGCAAATGGGATGAGGGAAAATAGATTTTCCATCTCAAATCCAGCTTCTTTTTAAAAGAGTTACAGCCTTTCTAGTTGCTGGCCACCTTGGTGAATTTGGATTGAGCTGGTGAGAGGCTGGAGAGAACAGAAGCGCTCCCCAATGCCACTGTGAAGGAAGGGCAGTGAAGAGCAGAAGAGAGGGAGGCAGAACAGGGCACTTGTGGATGGTGGGGTGGGGGGTCCCGGGGAGCCACCGGGTCTTCCCTATGATGAACGGATCTTTAGCTAGGTGCACCACATTTCCAAAATGTTTGATGTAAATGGATTTCTCATGCAAGCTGAAGAAGGGACTGAGTTCTGGGTTAATGCTGAGTTGAACAGAGATTGGCCTCCTGAATGTAGGAGCACAGGATATAAGAAAGGAATGGTGAGAAGATGAGCCTGAGGAATTAGCAGATGTCTTGGATTGTGTGTGTGCGTGGCTCCAGCTGTCACAAGCTGTGGAACTGGTAGTGGATCTGAATCAATTATTCCTGATTTTTCAAGCAGCAAGGAAGACCAGTTAATCTCTTGGTTTTGGCAATTTAGTAAAATCTTCAGTATTACTAAGGCTCATTTTGGCCTGGGTGCAGAGTTAAGATATTCGCTTCACATGGATATAACCCTGGCATGTGTGTCTGAGCACAGGCACACACATACGCACACACACACCCCAAAGGCTTTTCTGCTTTTCATGGAGCAACAATATATTGTTCTTATTTCAGACAAACAAATTCAGCTGATTTTGATCCTACCTTTCGTGTCATTGTTTGATGAATTGCCACAGATATTGCTATGCTGTCCCTTAGAGCATGGCCTTCTGTCAGTCATGGGGCACTTTTATTAAAGAGAATTACTTCTAATGGGTGCAGTCAGCTGAGGTCAATCATACTTGACCATCAAAGATCTTCACACCTGGGGAGGGAATCTCAAAGAAGGTGAGCTCTTTGGGTGCTCACAGGCTCATGTAGTCTCTCCCTGCCAGGTGAGTAATCAGCAGGCATCTCTGAATTCCACATTTTACAGATAGAACTATTCAAGAGCAACTTCCTGAAGCTTCCCATGGCTGTGCAGGCCCTTGTGGGGGTAAGAAGGGTCCACTGAAAAATCAACTCCTGAAAAGGTAGATATAACAAGAGAAGGAGATTTATTTCCCACATTCCCAGGGAGAATTATACAGAGTGATTTCTCAATACCCCAGTGGGGTCCAAACCTTTATATACCCTCATTTTAGAGGGTGGAGGGAGGTGAGGAATATAGGCAATTCCGTTCAGGGGCAACTTATGGTTACTAGGGAGGAGGAATAGATACTTGGGAGAATGGATAGATGGGGGGAAACATCTTGACTTGCCAATGATTTTATTTGCAAATTAAACCAACCTGAGAGACAGGTATTATATGTAAAATGATTTGGGTCAGGTCTGGTTGCATTCTTGATGTTCTTTCCTGTAATATATTGAGATTACAGTGAGAGGAAGAGAAGTCAGTTGCTCTTTTTGATGGGTCTGGCTTTATGCAGAAAGAGGGGACAGCCCCTTCTAAGGCCTGTTGATCTGAAAGGGCCTTTAATTCAAAATAGTCTTTACAGCAAGGAATCATATCTTGGAGTGAAATCTCCTGAACTCCTTCACTCTCATATCTTTTTTCAAACGTGATCCTGGTGGACTTTGGCCTCCTTGGATTGAACAAGTATTGATGGGAACACTGGAAATGCCAGTGTTCGTCCGGATAGCAGTCAAGTACGTAAGTGAGGCAGTGATGCAGACTGAAAGATAAATTTCACAACAGATGTGGTTCAAGTTTCTAAAGACTGTTCTGGTATTACTAATATGGTGACAAAGGATAGCAAGAGATCTAGACTTAGAGTAGAACCATGGCTCACCTATGCCACAAAGATTGTTTCAAAGTTCCACTCTTGAGTAAGATGACTTTACATTCTGGAAATGACCCATCCTAATTTTAAAAAAACTCTCAAAATTTGAGAATATAATTAGACATTGTTCAAATAGAAATTGTTTCAAATTGTTTCAAAATAGGAATGGTTTCAAGTTCCTATCTGAAATCCTAACTTTGCAGATTTGTAAAATGCTATCTCTCTCTCTCTCTCTCGTCTCTTCCATAGTTTTAAATTCCTTGAAGTGAGGAATGAGCCTCATTCCCCCTTGCATCTCTTAGAGTGCCTGGCACAATGCTGAGTACAACTGTGTTCAGTAGTATCCTGTGCTTTATAGCTTAGGTGTACTTTCTCCAGTTCTCTAGAAGTGAGGGAAAAAAATAACAAATGACCTCATTTGAAATCATGCTCCACATAAAGATCGTACAGTATGCAATTGAAGTCTGTAATCATTTACTTGTGGTAGATTTTCATCTTTTGACTATGTGGTTACAGGTAAGGGGAAGGGGTGGTTTGGCTCCCCTGGTGGGACTGAGGTTTTGATAAAAGCTCAAAAGAAAAACAGAAAGATGAAAGATCACTCACTACCCAAATTCTGTCACTGACTTGACACAGACATGACATTTCAACATGGTACATGCTATCAGTAGTTTGATCTTTTCAAATAAATTTTGCAGGTTTCTTTTTATGTTGAATAGTTGTGCTAGGTAGAATAAGAGGAATATATAATGAGGTAGAGAACCACTGGGATTCATTAACATGAGTGACCCCTTACATATGGTATTCATTGAATATTGGCAACAATATCCTTTGCCCAAAAGATTTGGAGAGGCTGGAGAATGTGTCTGGTGTCACACAGCTGGCCAGGGAAAAACGAGGCTGTGTCTAAAGCTCATGCTCTGTTACTATTAATATATTAGGGAGGACTTTATGGGAGATGGCACACACTGACTATTTGAAAGTCATTTCAAATTACAAAATTTACAGAAAAATTGCACAGCCACAGCTAAGAAAATGTGATTTATTTAGAATTCTAATAATTGCAGCATGTGCCCAAGATCCCTATTAAAACCATCTGAGACAGGGCATCTGGGGATGTGGGGAGAAAGCCTAGTTATGGAGGCTTTGGATTCTGGCTTTACCTTTTACTTTAGCAAAGTAACCAGCCTCTGAGGATCACATGGACAGTGTATACAAGGTCACAGCACCCAGAACCTGGCATACACTTACGCTCACTAGGTGTGTCAGAGTTTTCAAAAACATTGATGTTGAGACATCAGCTACCTGGGTAGCGCCTGTGGCTCAAGGAGTAGGGCACCGGCCCCATATACCTGAGGTGGCAGGTTCAAACCCAGCTCTGGGCAAAAACTGCAACAAGAAAAAAAAAAAAAAAGAGAGAGAGACCTCAGCTACCCACTTGTTGCAGAAATGTGCACTGCTCTTCTAAGAGACGTAATTGTGGGTTAGTTAACATCTACCAACCCAATTTAAGGGTGGTGAGTGAATGGCCACCTAGGTGGGGTTGGGGAGTTGCCCACAGGAAGGAAAAATAGAGTTAAAGTGAAATGTGACCATTTACAAAGATAATGTGAAAAATGGAAATAGAGCTTCATCAAAGATCTTCCAAACAGAGAAGAATGTGGTGGAAAGTGCAGTCACCCCTATTAACAGTCTGCTCGTCAGCCGCAGCTTATCAGTGACCTGGTTCCTGTGTCTTAACAGATAAGGAAAATGGGAGGTCATTAAAGAGAAGGCAGCTGTTCTATTTATTCTTGAGCTATTAGAGAAATTGACTTTCAGACTTAATACTCTGTTGGTGGGAAGTTGAGGAAGAAAGAGCTCAAGTTCGACTCACTGGTGGTAAGTGCCTTGGGAGTGTTTTCCAAAAATACTTTGATCTCAAAGGGAACTGAATTTTTACATGCAAATTTAAGTTGAAAATAGTTGCTATCAATTTTGCTCGTGAGGAAAATAGCATTACCAATGGCAGCATAAAGTTACAGGTGGGTGAAATCCCCAGCGATCTTGTCTATGTCCTGTGGATCTTTGGTCTAATGTGTTCAAAAGGTCTGGTGGAGGGTGGGGAAGGATGAGGGCTTTGCTGTGTACACACAGAGAGCTCATCGTCCAGAATCATTCTTTCTGGAATCCACTGAAACCCTGAAGTGTGGAATCTGTTCAGGTGTCAGAGAAGGTCAAAGAGCTAATGAAGCAAGGAGCTTCTGGCCCAGACGGGTGAGGGGAAAGCATGCAGGTGAGAAAATGGTGTCAGATCCTTCATAGAGGAGAAGTGCAGGAGGGAGATGGGAGGCCAGTGAGGGGCCAGGAGGGTCAGCAGGTCTCTTTGGAGGGCTGGGGAAAGGATAACTGATTTAAGTCTGCTGATGCCTGCTTTGAACCTCTGCTTGGTCCTGCATTCCCTTTCTCCCTGGAGGCTGCCCAACTGGGTCTGCAGAGCCAGACGTGGCAAAACTGGCCTCAAAGCATTGCCCACTGAGTGTCCGTTTTTCTTTGTAATTTACTCCAGACATAAAGAATTGGGAGGCGTGATTCTCTCTGGCTGTAGAAGTT